ACTGGTAGGTTTGTCGAAGTTGGTGTGTCTCCCACATATTTTTTCAGTTGTGAAATGTGGAAGACATTGTGTATCCTAGCTAAGGCTGGAAGTTCTACCTTATAAGCGACCTGTCCAATCTTCTCAATTATTTTGCAGGGACCAAAGTATTTCGGAGCTAGTTTTGCATTGCTTTTAGTTTCCATTGACACATGCCTATTAGGATGAAGTTTGACAAATACCATATCACAATTCAGAGCTATTTATTTGTTATGTGCTTATGTGCTACTTGTTTCATTTGATCTTGTGCTCTTCGTAAATGAAACTTAAGCACCCTTAGCATTTCCTCTCTCTTAGTCAAACTTTTGTCAATGACAACTTTTTTGGATTCACCAAGTTGGTGTTGCCTTTATGGAGGAATGATATGTGGTTATACCACCATTCAACTAATGAAAGCCAATGGAACCACTATGTTGGTATGTATGAACACATGCACCTTAAATACGTCTCCAAACAACAATTAACTACCTCAGTTTGCCCATCCATTTGTGGACGGTATGTTGAAGACAAATGCGTTTCCACCCCTTGCAATTGCATGAATTCTTGCAAAAAGTTACTAATAAAGATGGGATCTTTATCACTGGTAATTGTTTCAAGGAACCCATGTAGTTTAAATATATTATCTAATAAAGCCTGTGCTACATCACATGCCCGGTAAGGGTGGGATAACCCAATAAAATGTGTAGCCTTACTAAATCTATCGATAACTACAAAAATGACTTGCTTCCCAATGGAACTAGGTAGTCCTTCTATGAACTCCATATTGATATGTTGCCATATGTGATTAGGGATATGTAATGGCTGAAGGAAACCTAGAGAGGCTGTGGTCTCATATTTGCACCTCTGGCAGGTTTCACACTTCTTGACGTGTTCTATGATATCTCAGGGTAGTTCCTTATAGTAAATGGCTGACTTAGCTCTCTAAATTGCGGCATTTTTACCGGAATGGCCTGTTATGGAAGAAAAGTGCATCCAATTCAACATTTGAGTTCAGAGGTCCTCATTATTCCCTACCACAAGTCTACTTTTTCTTCATAATTCTTCATTTTGCCAGGTGTAGTGTTTGTGAGATTCAGGGTTGGATTCCATGTCGTTGATGATTTTTTGCAATAACGGGTCTGTTCTCCATAAAGCCTGAATCTTATCAAGAAGGTCAGTACTCACAGTATGAATATTGAATGAACAACATGTAGGATCTTCCTTCCTGGATAAGGCATCTGCTACTATATTCACCTTACCCTTTTTATATTTGATGGTGAAATTGAATTCCATCAGTTTGATTAGCCACTTCTGCTGGAATGATGTTGTTAATCTCTGATCTAATATGTATTTTAAGCTCTAGTGGTCAGTTTTGATGACAAATTGCCTGTTCAATAAGTAGTGTCTCCAATTTTGGACAATAAAGACCACTGCAAATAGCTCTTTCTCATATATAGACAATGCTTGTTGCTATGAACTGAGGGCCCTACTGATGAATGTAATTAGGTGGTGCTCCTGCATTAAGATTGCTTTTATTCCATACCTACAAGCATCCACTTCCAAGATAAATTGCATTTTTGAAATCAGGTAATGCTAGTACAAGAGCTTGGATTAACAAGGACTTCAACTTTTGAAATGCTTGCTTGGCTTCCAAGGTCCAAGTGAAGTCTTTTTTCAATAGTTCAGTGAGTGGTTTTGCAATGCCACCTTAACCTCTTACAAATCTTCTATAGTAGCCTGCTAGACCAAGGAACCCTCAAAGTTGTTTGAGAGTTATTGGAAGTGGCCAATTTTTTGATAGCCTCTATTTTTGAAGGATCAATTAACACACCCACCACACTGATGAAATGACCTAAGTACTCTACCTTGGTGACAGCAAAACAACACTTGCTCTTCCTTGCAAACAAGTTATTTTGTCTCATAGTCTGGAGTACCAGTTGTAAATGTTGCACATGATCTTCAATGCTCTTGTTGTATATTAATGTCATCAAAGAAAATTAGGAGGAATTATCTTAGGTACTCTTGAAAGACTAAATTCATAAGGCCTTGAAAGGTTGCTAGGGCATTGGTTAGGCCGAATGGCATCACCAAATACTCATAATGCCTCCATGAGTTTTAAATGCAGTCTTATGGACGTCCATAAGGTGCATTCTGACCTGGTTGTAACCTAATAGTAGGTCTATTTTTGAGTAAATGATGGATCCATGCAATTCATCCAAGAGATCTTCCACAAGAGGGATTGGGAATTTATCCTTAATAGTGGCCTTATCAAGTTCCCTATAATCCACACAAAGTCTCTAGCTGCCATCCTTTTTCCCTACCAAAACTACAGGACTAGCATAAGGGTTGTTGCTAGCCTGAATAATGCATGTATTCAAGTACTCTTTGACTAGCTTGTCTATGACATCCTTCTGATGTTTTGCATACATGTAGGGTCTCTTGTTCACAGGGATACTTCCTTGAATGAAGGGAATTTTATGACATGGTCTGGTCTGATATGTGGCAATTGTGTTGGTTCCTGAAAGACATCTTCAAATTCCCATAGGATGTGTTGTATCTCTGGTATAGGAGCAGGTAGCTGGCCATGTGTTGTCAAAGTGTTTAACAAAAAACCTTCTTGGTTGCATAATTGTATCATTGAAAGATGTACTCCTTCAGTAATAGCTCTTCCTAGTTGTTTTCTCCTCACTGTCTTCATTCCTTGTAGTTGAGCACTCCTTAAAACATGTTTTTTGCCCCGTGCATAAAATTGCACACTTAATTTATCAAAGTTCCATGTAGTGTCACCCAAGGTTATAAGCCATTCAATTCCCAAGACTAAATCACAGTATCCCAATGGTAATAACATCATGTTCGAAGTAAACATTGATTGTTGTATTGTCCACTTAAAATCTTTGACCACAACTTCTATATTTAACCTGCTGCTATCTGCTACAGTAACATGCATGGGTTCCAAATTGTCTATTCAACAGCCTAACTTCTTGGCAATGTTGACGTCCAAAAAGTTGTGTGTACTACCACTGTCTATAAGAATATGCAAGGGTTTCTTATTGTATTTACCAGTAATTCGCATAGTTTTGAAGTTGGGGATGCCTGTCAAGGCATGTATTGAAAATTGTGGTTGACCAACGTCAGTTGAATCTGAACCATGCAGTTCTTCCTCGAGTGGTGGTTCATTTGATGTTTCTTCCAATTCAATAACACGTAGTTGTAGCTTTTTGTGTGTAAGGCTATGAGCCTGTGAGTGTGGTTCATCACTGGAGTAACATAGTCCCTTTGATCTCCTATCAACCATGTACACTGGAGTCAAATTTCTATAAGGCTTTGCTCTATTCGAGGTAAGTTCTGGCTGATTGTACTTGACCTAATTTGTAGGTGTGGGCAACAATGGTTTTGAATTCACAACGTTCTTGTTGTTTCTTGAATTCAAAGAAAAGGGCTTTGAGGCAATCGCAATTGGTCCTTGGGGTTGTGAGGTCTCATACATCTTTGGCAGTGAGAATGCTCTCCGAACACTATTAGGCCTAAACATGCATACCATCATTTGGATTTCTTGTTTGAGTCGTCCCAGAAAGCAACTTAACGAGTACTCTTCTGTTAAGTCTAATCTGGAAATTATTGCATCAAAAGCCTCATGATATTCATCAACCCCTTTTTCTTGCCTTAACTTCATAAGTTTTGCCATGGGATCATCGCAGACATCTCCAAATCAATCCTGCAACATCTTCGTATATTCCTCCTATGAAGGTTGTTGATTTGCCATATTCTTGGAAATTGTCGTGTGCCACTATAAGGCTTTGCCTTCAAGGTGAACAATTGCTAATCGAACCTTTACATCCTTAGGTGTGGCATCAATCAAGAAGTAATTTTCGCATTGGTACATCCATTGATTGATGTTTTTGTTATTGAATCGCAGAAAATTGATTTTTGCAAGTCGTGTCCCACAAGAATATTGCTTTGAGCCTTTCATTGGAGTTTTTGCTAAAGGAAGGTGAGTGGCTTCTTGAATCAAATGGAGTCTTGAATAGGTCTTCCATTTTCTGCGATAACGCCTCAGATAAGGAATCTTAAATCGTGTTTGCGAGTTGCATTATTTGCTTATCAATCTGTAAAGATAGCTTGGTCTCCAATCGTTCTTCCATGTCTGCCATGCTGTGCTGGTTACGGGTTACAACCATGAATCATCTTGGCTGATACCAATGTTAAGAATAGAACTAGGAATTCAATGAGAATTCGAAGAACTAGTAGAAAATAGGGATTCCACAAAAAGAAAAGAATCTGAATGACAGTATTATTGAATGAGGGAAAGAGGAGAATACAAGTCGGGGAATGAATGAATTATATCCTTTTCTTTTTCTAATTGCGAGATCATATTGCATTATATAGCAACTGATTATAACTAATCCTCCAAACTAACTTTATCTAATCTCTATCTTTTACTAATTTTGCAGATAGAATATATTAAAAATTACTAATAAAGACCTAATCATGTTTACATCATATCATACTCCTCTAGAACTGTCGAGGCTTTACTTCTCCAACGGTTGTTGCTTGTGAAGGCATGCATTTCGCGGTCAAAATTGTAGGAAAGGGGATACCTTTTTCAGTAACTACCTTGGTCTCCACTATTTTTGACCATTATACCTTTGATTTTAAAAAATTAGAAAAAATATTTTTTAATCAAATTTAAGAACTTAAAATTAATAGATTAATCATAATATCAATTAGATTAATATACTTTTATTATTTAATTTTAATTTTAATTTTATTTTTAATAGAGACACGAAGTGCCTCGACTCCACTAGTTATAAATAAACATTATAACATTATGGATAATTATCTAGATATAATATATATATATATATATATTTATATATATAAATAGATATTAATGGATAAATTTTTTTAATCTTTTAGATTGTTAAATTATATTTTATTTTATAATTAGATAAACTTGTACTACGGATCAATAGCTTAAAATTGTTATGGGTAACCCGCGCTTGTGTGATCCTTTAATCCTCTGCTGCCGCCTCTCGGAAACTGTCGCTTCTGTTTGCCGTTGCTTTTAAAACATTCTAGTTATCTGCTCTGTAGGGTTTTACAGTTTAGGGGTTTTTGTTCTCAGCAAAACCCTTTCTACACTGTTCTCAGCAAGAAGAAGAGATGAATAGGGCGAGAACCGAAGGCATAACCTTCACGAAGGAACCGTTCCTCGAGGATGCAGGGCCACGCAGGATGTCAGTACTTATTTGTTTCTCTTTTCTTATTACCACACATTAACTTTGATTCACTAACGGTTCATAAGAGATTGTTACTTTGTTTATTGCAGTAAGAACATGAAGTTCTCTTCGTTATCAGAGTCGGATATAAGCAAAATAGGTGAAGTTCAAGTTTATAAAGGCTCCTACTATGATTCCCTTAAAAAGCCTATCCATGGTGGCTTGTTGGATCCTCGCATGGTACGCTTTAATCCCCTTTTCCACACTTTTTGAATTCTGCTTATGTTTGTTTTAGTGTTGTTGATACTTGGGCTTGTTTTTGTTGCATTTTAGATTTTGATGTGATCATCTTGCTACATTGTTTCATCGTACTATATAGGATTAAAATTAGCCTTGTGTATGGGGTCTGGCATGAATTTGGAGTTGTTTATGATTTTGAACAATGATGCAATTGGTCTTTATTTTGGTGGACATTGTGATGAGATGACGGATGCAACAGTTGTATATTAGGATTTGGAAAGTGGCCTATGGTGGTATATTTTCTTTGTGATTGGGTGTGCTATACGGATAAAGAAATTGCTAATTCAATTTAGTAATGGGTATTTATAGACAAAGTTATTGGACATGGGCTTATATGTGACTCTTGGTTGATGGAATCTGTTTATTTAATCTGTTTGATTATATATTTTTCTTTTCTAATGCTCATGTTTCTGCTCTTTTTCTGCACATAATGCTAAAAATGCATTTTTTTTTTAATTCAGGGCCCTGCTAATAAGAATCTTGTCTGTGCAACATGCCATGGGAACTTTCATGACTGTCCTGGGCACTTTGGATACTTACACCTTGCCCTTCCTGTTTTCAATGTTGGATATTTAAGTGCCATTGTGGAAATACTGAAGTGCATTTGTAAGGTATACAATTCTTTCATGTGTTTCTTGTATGCTCCCCCACATAGTTTGAGATTTGAGCCCCCATGTACAACAACAAAAGAACAGACTTAATTTATCCATTTTCTTTGAAAATACAAGTTTTGCTCTTTTAATTCCAATTTGAGTTTGTTTAATTCAGGCTTTTGTGGTCTGTCACTTTCATCAATTTATAAAATAATTTATTCATAATTAGTTTTTTGTCTAAGAAATGTATTATTTCTAGAGATATACAAAATTGGCAAAAAGCAAAAGAATAGAGGTTATAATACATTCAAAATTTATGTTATAGAGCATAAAAATCCATGTACAAGTTTGTATGTCATACTCTTTGACATTCTATTTTAACAGGGCTGTGCTCGGATTCTCCTTGACGAAGATACCTGTAGAAAACATTTGAAGAGAATGAGAAGTTCCAAAAGGAGTGATCTGGATAAGTCTGATTTTGTGAAACTTCGTATAATTAAAGATTGTAGCAAAGTTGTGAATTGCCCAAGATGTGGATATGTCAACGGTTTGTTTCATTATTCTCTATTCAAACAACTTTATTGTTTGAATTTGTTTAAAGGCTGTGTTTTGGTGACTTGATTTCTGTATTTGGCAGAAACATAATTGCTTCCACATTTTTGGTTTCAATTCCATTTTTAAGGATATATCATAAATTGAATCTTAGTAAAATATTTATTTTCTTTTTGCTCTTGTTGATTTGTTCTTGGCTATTAATAAACTAATTTTTTTATTGTCCATCACGAATCCCTTGAATTATTGTTGGCAATGAGAACAAAGCATATGGTGCAACAACCTGTGATAAACCTTTTATTTTTAATCACTATCCTTTTTCTTTTTGGTGCTTTGTTGATACTTTATCATATGGATTCCGAATGTTCTCTTCTTAACTTTGTATGAGCTATGTGCTAACACTGGCTCAACAACAGTTAGTTAAGCTTCTATTACAGGAGCATGTTGCTTCAAGACCCCCATTTTGTTGAACTGATCATCACCACATATGGCATGAATAAAACCATTTTTTACTCTCCCAATTCAGTAGAAAATTACCCTCTTGTTCTAAGAGGGGAAATATTGACACTAATAGCTAAGAATTTTGTGGGTGAGGATTAAATGTGATTGCCTTTCATATGCATATTAAGATATGCACTTTTTACATCTGTAAGATGATATTTGTGATGTCTATTGTGATACAGGTTCAGTAAAGAAGGTTCCGGGTTCCCTGACCATCATGCATGATTGCTCAAAATGTAGAAATGATATTATTGAAGAGCTTGAATTAGCACTTTCTCGTACAAAAGACTCTAGGACAACCGCCAATGTGTCTACCCAATTTCTTAACCCTTTCCAAGTTCTTTCCCTTTTTAAAAGGATGACTGACGAGGTGGACATTTATATTTATATTTATATGTGTGTGCTTTTGGATTGATTTTCCTCTGGTTTTTCTTTTTAAGAGGGTATTATATTATCTGCTATTTTGTGGAAATCATTAATGCTATGCAGAGGTATATTTTCCTCTCAAGCTGAACATTTTTTTTTACGTTTGGTTGTAGGACTGTGAATTACTTTATGTTGCTGAAAGACCAGAGAGACTCATAATAAAAAACATTATTGTACCACCTATAGCTATTCGACCTTCAGTTGTAATGGATGAATCGCTGAGGTAATGTCAGTTTGGCTGTATTTATGTAATTTCCTCCCTTCATTAACATCATGTGATCTTTGATGGTCATATGAAACGTGTGTATAAGAGAAGGAAAAGTAGAGTGGGCTAGGGTCTTGGTCCCAGGGAATTTATGTGTTTATGAGATGTGAAAGTAAGGAGGAATGCTGCTAGCTAGCTGTAAGGACTAAGGAGGAAACATTAGTGGGAGAGCATAATAGAATGTACACGTGGCAGTATGATTTTTTGTTATCTTTTAGCTTATGATACCTCATGTAAAACCTCTCATGTAATTGCTGTCAGCTAGGTCTAGAATCTCACAGCTGGTTTCTGTTATAATTCAGTTCTAAGTTCTAACTAGCCAACTGCTAATGCTGTTTCTGTTTCAGCATATAGTTTTGATTCCCTCCCCATTTCTACTCTCAAATCTCTCTGTTTCTGAATTCACTTTTATCTTCAGCTATACTTCTAACCTCTAAGCAATGGGCAGCAAGGTATTGGAGTTGTTGGAAATAGGAGTATGGATTAACTCAGATCTGAGTGTCTAGATCATGTACTTTGAAAATGTCATCTTCCTTGTAATCATAATTTGTAATTATTTCAGGAAGTGTATAATTATTGATTGATTTTTGAGAGAGATAGAGCAACAAAATTTGCAACTGATAAACTGATTTTCATTACGGTGAATTCAATTATAATGAGTGAGTGGGTTCAGTTATTTATAAGTGCCCTAAATAGTTGGTTGTTGGGCAGGGTATTAAAATCTCTGTGATCAAGTGATCTGTAGTCTTTTTTTTTTGGCTGCATCTATTTTTCATGATTAAGTTAAATTTCATTATAATTAAATGAATAGGTCTGTGCATTTTTGGCGTTTCAAGCCCATAGGTTTTGTGTTATCAGGTTGGAAATATAAAATACCATATTTCAGCTTCCACCATAGGGGAGATGTTCCTCTCAACAGCAAGTGTGTAGTGTATAATTAGTATGAAATTCCAGAATTTTCAGCCACTGGTCTTTACATGTGAATATTATTTGGGATAGGATTATTTTTTTATGCTTCCATGTATGATTATACACATGGCGTTCCAAAAGGTTCCTCTTTGGCCCATGTTTTGAGGGACTAGAGAACTCTAATGATATAAAGCTTGTATTTCTACCATTTCTCTTCGCTCTTTCTTTTGTTTTAGGGGGATTCCTGACCCCCTGCTCTTTTTCCCTCAACTCCAAAAACTCATAGAAAATGATAATAACTGTTGGATAGAAATCCCAAAATTTATGGGATATTATTAACCAACATGTAAACCAATCAAAACATGTCACATGGTTTTCAACATACAACAATTGACATGTTTGAAAACTAAGCACCCAAGCAATTCAAACATTCATGACAATCATACCATACAACAAGGTATTTATCCAATGCATATGAATAACAATTAACTCACATCCAATATACCTTAGCAGTCTAAGTGGCTTGACCCAATCAAATCAACGTGATCACTTTCGTGTCTAATGCGCCCGCTGGATCAACAACTAAAATGAAATACCAATCCTTACCTTTGATTTCTCAGGTATTTTCACTTGTTAGGTCAAAAGACAATTTTAGATCCCTCTACTTTTAAGTTTTGATGCTAATTAGGGGTGAGCAATGGGTGAGTTTGGTCGGGTTCGGGTGAAAAATGTCCAACCCGTTGTAAATCGACTTTGGAAAAATGTGACCGACTGAGCTTTCAATTTGAGGCGGTTCGGGTTGAAACGGATTTGGATTTGAGCGGGTGGGTGCAATCGGGTTTGAATTTTTTTGTAGACCAAGTTATCTTAACGAAGATGAAGCTTAAAACGATAAAAAAAATATTTTTAAAATAGTGATAAAAATAGAATGAAGGTGACAATAGATGGTGCAAATAGATTCGTAGATGAAACATTTACAAACTAAAGAAGTAAAAATAAAAGATAACAAAATTCATAGTTGTTACATGCAAAAGAAATCTAAAGTTAGATTACAAAATCCATAAGAAACCACAGTCGCACAAGTTATACTTAAAATGGAGATAAGAAGATGGAAAAGAAAGACAAAGAAAGAAGCAATAAGAAAACTCTAAAAATGGACTAGTGTGTTGAGAAGTTGAATGTGGAAGGAGAAGACAAAATAAATATCTAAATTATGAGAAAAAGCAAAAAAAATAAGTTACAAATTGATGGCTATATTATACTTGAAATAAAGACTTTTAAGTTTGGACCATTGTTGTTTAGTTATACAAAAGTAATAAAAATATAAACTTATCTCATTTTCGGTTGGGTTCGGTTTTTAGTGGGTTTAAAAATTAAAAACCGAACCCGCCCAATATAACCCGTATAAAATCAAAATTTTAACCCGATTTACTCATAAGACCCGCCCGAACCCACCCAAAA